TTATTCGTCTCTGTGTGTTTTGTTAAAAGATTTGTTTATTGTTTTTATGTTTGAAAATATGTAATTGTACTTTTCAGGGTTGCCACGCTACCTGGAAAACCGGGAAAAGTCAGGGAATTCGAAAATTGACCAAAATATTCAGGGAAAAGTCAGGGAATTTAAATATTTTTGTCAAAATCTGGAAAAGTCAGGGAAGTTCATACAACGATCCCGCCAAAAAAAGGCGATTTTTGCGCCGACGTCGAAGAGGTAACTTTTTTGGCGAATTATGCATCACGGTGAGTGTCATTCGGTAGCTGGCATAGAGCCAATTTTCGAAGCTCCAATTTGATTGTCTTTTAGAAAGGCAAAGCAAACTTTTGGTTTCCAGTATTCTCGGAATCGCATGTGCAGTGCATGAACTAAAGAAAGTACCTGTTCTCGATAAAACAAAATGGGTTTAATCCTAGTATATGGTACCATGGAGGTTAGAATCAAAGAAATATGTATTGTAAAGAAGAAAACCTCTCTGCAACAGACATGGCTGTGGCTTCCGTTCCATCATAGAGGAAAACAGCTGTGCATGTCTGATATATCTTTTGCCAAAGCTCGAAACCCGGTGTCGAAGTTTGAAGGTCACGTTATCAAGAGTTCAAAAATGAATATCGTTTAAAATTTTCTTTAACCACTTGCGCTAAAAGACGTGCCACGCACGTCAAGTGCTTTTGTCTCAAACCGCGAGCGACGTGAACACCACGTCGATAAGCATTTATCGCAAAATGAAAATAACATGGTGCACACGTCGCCTAACAACGAGATTGTTTATTTCTCGAGTTACAGCTCTGGATTGCACTCGCAGATGCGGAGCGGCGTAAATGAGACACTTTACCGCTTGTTATATTGTAGCACACGGCACCGCACCGTGAAGTTTTCTTAGCGGAAGTGTTAAACTCTAAAGGAAAAGAAATATTTTTTGGCGCAAGTAATTAATTCATGGATTAGTTATTTTCAGGGGAAAAAAAAAACTACGAAATCCGTTTTTAAAATTATTGCGAAAAAATCCAAGAAGAAACGTCCTTTGATAAAACGTTTCTTCTTGGATTTTTCGCAATAATTTTAAAAATGGATTTTCGTAGTTTCTTTTTGTCAAAGTGTTTTTCTTCTTAACACGTGTTTTTCTCAATTTCCTGTACACATCGCGGAGAGGGAAATTCTGGCCGCCAGGTTCCGTCGCCAAATACCTTGGCAAATTTTCCCTCCGCATTCTAGCGGCATAATAGCATTTTACTTGTATGGAACCGTTTCTTTCTTCTTTACATAGACCTTCTTTGGTTAGAATAATAATGGGATTTGGCGACATCTTGATGCGCAATAAACGGGTCATTTGGTCTTGCGACAATTTTCAAAATCGTGCCAAAGCCTTACCGTATACTAGAATTTTACCTACCGCAAAATCTTTTTAAACTTTTTTTTTTTTTCTTTTAATAAATCCCTTGTCATTTTGCGTAAAGTAAAAAAATAGTAATCAGTCATCTAGGTCTAGCCATGTAATATAACTATATTCGCTAAAATATCGTTGATTATTCCAATTCAATTTTTAAGTAATTATTTTTATGGTTTCATATAATTTTAATGTTGCTTCTTCCTTCTAAATTTATTTTTATTAGTAAATAATATTTCCAAATTTCAGGAAATTTTCTCTGTCATATAATCCTGAAATTAATTATAGCAGTTATGATTACATACCATCACGAAATTTAATGCACAAATTTTTTTCCTTATGTATGCTGCGAAATAAATATAAAATACCTCAATTTATTAAAATAGATTTCTTTCTTTCGTTAGCTGCAGAATGTCTGCAAAAAAAGCCTTATTTTATTCCAGATTGGGAAGATTCTAATCTCATTCTTCAATGGAGAAAACAACAACTATTATAATTATATTTGTGTTTTCAAGTGTTAAGGTGCCTTTTAAGAACATACCTCACGCAAATTAAATTTACCTAAAATCTAACCGAACTATTTAGCATTGCGTTGTGATTTATAAGGACCGGATTAGCCTCGTGTTAAACTGGTGATGATCATGAGTAATAATTAAATAAAACATACATTTGTTATCCAATATATATATCTTAAATTTTATAAAGTTTCTTAAGTGGAAAACTAAACAAAATTATCAAACAAAGTATACCAAGAATAATCAAGAATAAATGTCCTCTGAGATTTATTGAATAATTAAGTGAACTTGCTACACAATACAAGTAATACCATAATTAATTTACATCTTAGCACAGCCAACGTACATTACGTGGATAGACTGGAATTTTCTTGAAACACACCTGGAAAAGTCAGGGAATTTCATTCTCCTGTTTGAGTGGCAACCCTGATTTTTGGTTATTTATTGCTCTCTCTTTGTGTATTTTTGGTTATTTATTAGTCTCTTGTATGTTAAGATAGCAGATTTTTTTTTTTTTTTTTTCCTTTTTTTCTGGTTAACATGATAGTTTTAACTTCCTGATTTTGTTTAAGTGAAAAGAGATCAATGAGTGCATGGACAAAAGGCAGTACGTAGTGCCTAGTTTGTAAAATTATCAGATTTATTTCAAGTTAAAATAGGTCGATGTGTACATGGAAACCAAGTTTGTGTAAGTCTTTGACTTCTTATTTTGGTTTTGTGTAGCGGCGGAAGGATCGGCACCACCTTGAAATTGGTGCCAATCTTGGCGTCAAAAAAGAAATGATTCGCCAAGGGGTACCTTAGGGTAAATTTTTAACTTAAGCCTTGCTTGTTACAAAATATTCTTTGCAATAAAATAATTGTTATTTTTCTGTTGTACATCTGCACAAATTTTTGGCCTGTAGCAGGTGACGATTTATTGGCCATCATCTGCCATGCGATGTGTATGTCTGCGATTTTTTTTAACTCTTCTGTTATTAGACCATACTCAGAAATGTATATATGGATGGATGTGTCAATGCATGTATGTGTACACACACCAGAAAACTTTTTTTGCTTATTTTAATAACTAGAAATTATTTAGAATTAAGATACCTGCCACACTGCCTGTGCTTAGGAGGTGCACAACAGAAAAATGCCAAACAACTGATTTCAGAAGTGCCAAACAATAACTCTCATAATAATAAAAAAACTCCAATGTTTTGGTCAAACGTTTCAGAAGTTTTTTATTATTTTATTTTAAATAAAAATACATCACAAAACTTATCTGAATTTGAAAAGAATTATTTGTTTAGTAAAATATATTAACAGTTCCATATCTGAAGTAAACACGGCAAGAAGCTGCAAATTACCGGCAAGTTCTATTTTGAAATTTAACTATTCATGACTTTAAAGATTATAAAGTATTCAAAATGTTAAAAAAATCCTAGATGCAAAACATTTAATAATCCTCAACATATTAAAATGATGGAAAGTATATAGTCTGTTTAAAATGCACTGGTCTGCACCGCAATTTAACAGAACATGAAAAAATCAAATTTATCCCATGATAAATCCCACTCAACCCAATAATTGGTGCTTTAACACTTGCAGTGTATTTAAAAGAGTGCAACAAAAGTTAATCCTGAAACAGAAGTTATTAGCATATGGACACAATGTGAAATTATCACGAAGATACTTCAACAACAACAAAAACAATGAAAATAGGCTTTGTATTCATAAATTCCATAATAAGTAAAGATTTATATTGAAATAATATTATATTAGCAGATTGGTCAAAGTGACATTGAGTCTGACAGATGAAATGCAATGAAGAAAAATCAAATGAAGAACTGAATCCAAAAAACCTACTGTCTACCCACAAGGATGAAGGTGCAACCATAATGACTTGGATATGTTTCACCATCTCTGTGATAGTAATTTTTCACAGAAATTAATATGGATCAGTATAAGTATTCTTAGTGAAAACTTAAAAGCATGTTATAAGAAAACTTGGAATTTAAAATACATTCAAGTTCTATCAGGATAAAAATACTAAATATACAGCTTTCAATGTTCACTTATGGTTATTATACCACTGTTCTGAAGTTATCAAAATTCCTCCATATTCTTTGTTCTTCAATCCTATCGAACACGTAAGAAGCACGTAGTACAGAACAGAATAAATAATCAATATTCCTCTGTTAAAAACAATTCATATGGAGGATTGTAGTAGTAAAACTTTATTAGCACTATTAATCACAATTTACTGTTACTTTAATATTCTTGATTCTTCCAGTCTGTATCATACGGAGCTGACAATCTAATACTCATTAATTATTTTCCAGTCATTGTCAAATGAAAAGAGCCATTTTAGCTAAGTTTATCTACTGAAGTATTGGATGACACTCCTTTTTCTTTCACGTTTTTATTAAATATAAACTGCTTGTTCATAAATGCCTGAATTCTTATGCGAATGCAGCTTTAGCACCTTTTTTTTCGGGGGGGGGGCAAAACACGTTTTGAATACTTTCTTAATAATTTTTCGAAAAATAAGCAGGTCTTAAAAAGATGATTAATAGCATATGTAAAAGGGGGAGGGAACCCTAAGTAATTTCAAAAATATTTAGCATTTGCAAATACAGCTAAAAAACACAAATGTTTCAAAACAAATGTGAGGCACTGTGAATAGAATTTATAAATGCTCGTTTTCAAATGCTATTAAAACAGTACTTTTCGCAGAAAATTCTTATTATTTAGTACTATCTTAAGCATCTAAACATCACGGGTGTTAAACGGAACTACAAGAATAGATGGCGTATTCAGAATCACAATAAATTTTACTTGAAACGCAAATTAAAATAAATAACGCAAATTTTTTTTAAATAACGCAAATTAACCAAATTATTTCATGCAGAAAAGTTATGATGTAACAAAAGCTTATTAAACTCACTAGAACGAAAAAATGCAAAACTTTTACGGCCACGAATATTAATTCCATAAGCGATACACACATATTTTCACACATTATTTCAGATTTTTTCAGATGATTAATTTTATTATAATATTATTATTACAATGCTTACCTGCGACGAAAAGTAATACTACAGAAAACAAAAACTGAATCCTCATCTTGGAGTTTCGAAAATTCAAATCTTGAAAAATGTTTTGCCAAACTTCCGATTTATCACAGAACAATCAAACCCGATACTATTGAAGGTAAAGAAATATACGCAAAATTAAGTACTGACAATATAAAATTACGGAGCTACATATAAGTCGAACATTAAAAAGTTATTAAAATAGCAAAGAAAGAGATACTATTACCCTCGGAATTAAATTTATATGGAAAGACCAATTCAACACACTATCAACGACGACTGATTTTCTAATCGCACAATGCTCTGACGCAAAAGTCACAAGCTAACGTCAGCTGACATATTTGCGTATTGTTTGTTTTATTTATTTTATTATTCAAAAATTCGTGTGTAATACTGTAGAAATCACTTTTCAAATTAAATATATTAGTCAAAATTTGCAGAGAGAAAAAACAACGACTTTATGGAGCTATCTCATATTTCTTCAATTAGATTACTCGTTTTTTCAGTCATGACTTAATCCCGATTATTATGATTCGGAGCGGAAATATTCTGATAATAAATAGTTCCAAATATATATTATTCTGTAATGTTTAACTGAAAAACAAATTCGTCTGTTTGACATGCATAGGTAAAAGGAATAAGCAATTCAAAGGTAAGATTTTTTTTTTTTTTTTTTTTTCGGTGCTTCTATTCCAATACACCTTCAAGATATGTTGGGCATCGGGAGTGAATATCTTTCAAGATCATAATGCAACAAGAGTAGAAATGCTTTGCTACAATAGTATCCATATAGCTGATATATTTTTATTAGACAGCAAATTTGTATGTACGAACTGTAATGCAATCCTCTGGTGAGCTGGTTTCAAACAGTCACATGCCCATCAAGAAGTCCAAAACTTTCATGCTGCCCAAACAACAAGCATTAGCAAGTTCTGATGCCAATCAAAAAATATGTGATATGGTATCTTTCAACATTAGCTGCCATTATAATTGGAATCGAATGACGCAATTCATTGCCTTTAAATGAAGATCGTACATCAGAATGAATGAAATCCACGCGAAAGCTAATGAATGTTTATGTAACGCAAACCAGTACTTCAGTCTAATGTAGAGTGAGTTTTACATAAGGACGACCTACACTGTATTCACATGTTACGACGTCAATCCTCATAATCAGAAACTTATACTTGGCATGTGAAATTTGCACACTAGTTTTGCCAAAATATATCTCTCAACCGGAACTTCCAGGGTGACGTCATCACTCTCTCCCATCCACGGGCCGATAACGTAATTATTCCAGGACTTCAGATACTATTACTTACAGTTTTCCTTAATATATTAATATACCTTAAATATGTTCGCCATTTGCTTAACTTTTTTTTCATTCAATAAAACTACTACCCTTTTGCAATTTCGAAGGTGGTTGGAAAGCGTAAGATAAGACCATCACGATGCTCTAAACAAAAGCGGGATTTATCAGAGAATCCGAACGCCTGTGATGTGCTTGGTTGAATAGACCTTTATAGGTGTTGCCTCTGTGCTATAGCGTCAAAGGAAACCGAAGCGATGGTCACCTTCCTGACGATCTGTAGCGTTTCAGAAGCAGCTGCATAAGTACGTGGAGATACCTCCAGGGGTCGACTGGGAGCAATCCGGTGTTCTGGCTAGGTCAGTATCTAGACAGACTCGAATTTTGGAGAAATATTAACAGTCTTCACAGTGACTAGAACCATCGTTTATTCGGTGATAGGTTCAGGGTCGACAGGGACCACGGGCCCCCTGGTCTTGTCTGTCGCCTGGTTGTAAGGACGTTACATGTTCAGATATCGAAGGTTGTCATTGGGGATTTGGCTCCGCTTGGTCAACACTTGGGACGGTCGATGTCGAGCTATGTTACCTTTTTTGGCCGACCAACCGTACACCATTGTGATTGTGTTGCATATTCCCAGACCTTGTGAAACAAAAATCCTCCTCCTGGGTTGATGGCAGGGTTATGCCTCCTTGAATGGCCTGTAGGAGTTTGAGGCGCTATCGAGCCAGCCAAATCTGGGTGCCCCTTCCTTCTAGTACACAGTACGTGGAGATACTTGAGCTAAACAGCACCCCTAAACTGCTGTCCTTATTAAGCGCTGTATCCCCACTATCCGGTTACAGTACCACAGCTTTCAGTCATACTGGCCTCAGCTATTACACTCACAACCAACACTTCAATAACATACACTTTTATTTCCACCTATATTCCACCGCACCGAGATCCGTTACAGGTCAAGGCTGATATACGTATACTTCTTACACTTGATACACATGTTATAATAGGTGGAGATTAAAATTCTCGACACCGCGCGTGGAACCGCTATAATTCTAACAATATTGGCACTGTAATCTATGACGTGACCTCTACGGCGGGATTACACATAACAGCTCCCAAAACCCCAACACGGTATGCTTCAAATTCTATAGGGATCATCGATTTCTTCCTTCTCAGAAATACTAGCGTTCCGCTGGATATTTCTGTGTTGAATGAACTCTCCATAGTCTGGTCAAAATGATCCTGAATACTAGCAGTTATACCTCACTAGACAACAGAGCGTTTACTACAGACTGGCATAAATGCGCCAAAGGTCTGCACAACATGTATTACACATTCCAACAATACACTCGGAGGAGGACACTGAAAGTTTAATCAAGGTATTCACAAACGCTGTTCAAAATGCTCATGAATTTGCTAAAAAAGAAATGTGTCAAAAGTGAAAAGAACTAAAGAGCTTGCTAAACTCATCAAGGAACGAAATTCTGCTAGGAAACAGTTTCAAAGAACAAGACACAGAGATGACAAGCAGAGATTCAACAGGTTAAATAATTCAGTCAAGTCTGTTACAAATGTACAAGCACAACTCGACTGGAACTCGACTGGAATGCTTAAATTTTCTCTCTACAGAGGATAACTTCCTGTGGAAAGCTATTGGATAATATAAGAAATATCACAATAACATTCCGCCTCTGCCAAAACAAGATCCACTACACCTAAACTGAAAAAGCACTACTGTTAGTACATCGTCTGGAATCTCAGTTTCGCATAAACAACATTCGTGATACTACAACAGAAAACTTATTTCAGAACTTCAATATAATTCCAGTCTTGCCACTGGAAGTCGTTGGCTATATCCAAAAGTTAAAGAAGAAAAATAGCCCTGGCATCGATAGAATCTCTAAACTCCTGATTAAGAAATTTTCGCTGAAAACTGCTTTCCTGTTCACAAAAATATGCAGTGTCATCTTAAAATCGCAGTTCTTCTCAAGCTAATGGAAGACCTTCTATTAACCCCACCCTGAAAACCCAGCAAACCTGCTGGAGTACCACAATCTTACAGACCTATCAGCTTATTGCCACGCCTGAGCAAAATTATGGAAGCCATTCTACTTAAACGACTCAACGACCACATCGAAGAAAGAAGTATCCTCATCTCGTATCAGTTCGGATTCGGAAAAAAATCTTTCGACAAACAACCAGCTATACAAGGTGGAGGAGACTACCTCTGAAGGTCTGGCTAAAAGAGAAGTAACCAGAGGAATTTTCATCGACATCGCTAAGGCTTTCGACCGAGTGCGGATGGATGCACTCCTCTACAAGTTTTACTGTCTGCGTTTTCCAGATTACACCATAAACATTATGGAAAGTGTCTACCTAACAGGTAGACACTTTGTCGTTCGTATCTGTGGCGCATATTCCACCCTCCGAGACATCAAGGCCGGTATACCACAAGGATCTATACTTGGACCTACATTATTTAACATTTATATGAAACATCCCTACCGCACCCAACTGTGGTCTGTCTAGATACTTTCAATGTACGTTGATGACACAGCGATTGTAGCCCAAAGTGGATTTCAAGGCCCAGTCATCCAACGGTTACAACAGATACAAGGGTTAGAGACTTGGCTCACCAAGTGGAAAATTCTTGTAAATGTCGATAAGACCAAAGCTATCGTATTTACAAGAAAAAAGAATATCGAAAAGAACCTGAAGTTTCATGGTGCTATCCTACCATGGGCCAAGCAAGTCCCTTATTTTGGGATGATCCTCGATAACACGCTCACATGGACCCAATACATCACATTTATTACACAGAAGTTTAAATGTGTAAAGCTCAACTCTTCCCGCTAATTGCTCGAAATGATGCTTTATCCTTAGCTAATAAGTTTCTCATGTATAAGTCCGTTTTACGCCCATTACTTTGCTAAGCATGTCCAGTCTGGGCTTATGCCTGTAAATCAAATAGAAAAAGATTACAAATGGCGCAGAATTATGTTCTCAGCCAAATTACAAATTCTGCTTGGTACTTATGCAACAGGTGTATCCACGAAGAACACGGGATTTGTCTTCTTGTTTCTAGTTTTTAACGTAGCATTATTTAGGACGTTATAGTTATTGCTTATTGTATATTTATGTATACTCTTGCATTTTATTGTAGTATTACTGTGAATTTTCTCCATGTGTCAACTTGCTCTTATTGCATCTTAATTCTTTACTAACAGCACTAAAACTTTTCGTACTTGCCAATATATTAACCACTTTTATTTCAGGCTCTTGCACCTAGCTCGAACGGCACAGCTGAAAAATTTAAAGATCTTAAAAAAATTTAAATATTTAAATATTTATCACAATGCTTTAATAAAACTTATTATAACTTTATTGCCCTGTTAATGTGAAGTATTAATTAGGAAACTTTTATAATTCGATTAGGGGTAGTGCTTCGTTAGCCAGGTACCCAGGAGTTACACCGTTCATCAGAGATCGAGGCAGCACCCCTAGTTTTCTGATCCAGGACTTGTGATGTGGCTGTGCAGTCTCCAAGAACAAATACGGACAAGTTGTTTGCCGTTTCGAGCATGGTGAGTGAAAGCCGTTGAAATGTCACATATCGTTCGATATGTTCCTCCAGGACCCATCGACTACAAATTTTCTTAACGCCAATGCGAGTAGCAATTGCGCGATACTGTAAACCGCCGTCTCAGAGAAATTTATTTTTTCATGATATGTTTGCAAAGGAAATGGGATAGTTAATGCATAATTACTTTCAAAATGACTACTTAAAGTATACTACAGGGATTGGACTTCAGAAGAGAAAAACTTTTAATTTACCTAAACAAAATTTTTCTTTCCACCTAACCGGTATAATGGTTAGTTTCGTGCCGAAGGGCCCGGGTTCGAATCTCGGAGAAGGCACGGATGTTTGCAAATGTATAGTGTCGGCGTGGCATGGCGGCACTCTAAATATGAGGCGAGCCGAAAGTCCTCTCGTGTGGTTTGGTGCATTCGCAGATTACCCTTAGGACCCTTTTTATTGATTTAGTTTCAGTTTTGATACTATC